CAATTTTTCAATAATTACTTACGGGAGTTCTTTAAATCCAACCACTTAAAAACATCTATGACTTGCTGTACCCACTTCACGCCACATTTTATAAACTTCCCACTCTTCCGACAAATTTTGAGACTGCCATGGTAAATACTTCTCACAGTCTAGGAAGCAATAGCTAATTTTAAAGATTTCTGATAGTTCTGTCAGTCAAAACTTCTTTCTTTTCGTTCGTTTCATTCTCTAGAATGGAAAAGAAATTTGCCACCATATGTACGAGATTTTTCGGGAATTCAGTAGTTCCATCAACACTGCTTTCCACCACGAAATAAACGGCCGCAATCTTAGCTGTAAGCTTGTTACGAATTCAATGAATTCATTATCTCAAAATATGTGGGTACTATTATGGTTAGAGGTGTGGTACTGAATGGTCAACATTCCATGTTGTGATTAGATATGGCTGTTAAACGGCTGTGTACATTCGCTTGAATGTATAGCGCAAAGATCATAACTGTACTTCTAATTGATCAAACGCTCGTATTTTCTTCTTGAAGGCTTGTTGCTTCGATTAGCATTTTTTCCTCTCACGATAGTATTTAACTGGAATCTACTGCAGCCTATTTACATCTTTTGACTGTTACTGTGGGACTAATGTTCGCTATCAAAACAAGACACTTCTTGGTCGCTTGACAGTCCTCTGCCTTTGTCCTGGATTACGTGCAAATAAACAAATACTGTTGCTAAGGTGTGGGCTATGAAAACAGAGATTTTTTGTTCTTTTTTCCGATATTTGCTGAAGTGACTCTGATGTTGTGTTTCAATATTTCCCGCAGTATATCCTACCTTTTGTTACTAAAAGTGATGCTCTACTAGCTAGTATCGTGTATGTGATGAATTCTAGTTTGCTGAATTTTCTCAAACAAATGATGCGAAGTGAATGAAAAACTTTAGATTTCACTTTTTAAAGTCTGTGTTAAACAACGTCTTCACAACTCACATCTTTATTTGCGTCGTTTGTGCAACTTGTGCCTAGTTAGTTCAGACTTCAACTTCAGATTGCAGTGATAGTTTGAGTACGTAAGATTACTTCCTTAGAAGATTCACCGGTTTCTTTGCGCTCTTATCGTTATCCCTTATGTCCTTCTGTTAGTTCATATAATATTATCTTTTCGGAATGGTTACTCCCCCGTTCGGATACGTATACGATGAGAGAATGCTAGAGCACGAGTGCGGTTATGATGATACAATGCGAGAATGTCCGGAGCGAATGATTCTCATACATGAACGCCTGAAGCACGATGGTCTTTTAGAGAAGGCAGTCAAGGTTAGCCAAATGTGGATGTTTAATATGTCCGAATGAACTGACCAATTTAGGCCAGGGCTAGAAA